AAACATAATTTTCAAAACCAAAAAAAGGAAAAATAAGAACACTAAAATTCTTGGTTTAAAAAAATTTATTTTGCACCCAAGCATTCTTGGTGCCGGATTGGTTAGGGACATGACCCCTATCAGTTAAGCTCAAATCCCTAGGGTTATGAACCCTCTTGGGCATATTTTGTGCACCGACACGGTCATAACAAAAATTACTCAAATGACCTTTCCTATTGTAATAAGTACAATGGAAAGGAAGCATTTGTTTATGTTGACCAAACGGTTGTGCACGAGACTCATTTGCAAAAATAGGTTTATCTTAGAAATTATTTTGCAAACGAGAAAATCTCCTCAAATCAAAACAAATTTTGGTCAAATGATTAAAATGACCACAATGATTACACTTAAACTTCTGTGGTCTTTTGAAATTATTTGGCAAAAGTAAAATCTTTTTCAAATCAAAGCAAAACTTTGCCAAATGGCCAAATCGACCACATAGATCACATTTAAACACATGTGCATGCTTATGATGTACAATTGGTGCATGTGTGTGTACATGTGATGAAGAAGAAGCCTTATGAGGTGCACATGGAGTATTAGCAATCTTAGGTTTGTGTGCATCATAGCAAAATTTAGTAAGGTGACCTTTATAACCACAAGTAGAGCATTTGTAAATTTTGCTATACAAGTGTGCATAGTGTGTGTTTGATTTAGAAGTGTCAACACGGGACTTTGCACACAAGTCCATAAGTTTCTTACGGTTAATAATGCATGAATTAAGAGTTGAATCTAAAGAGGTAATACGATTTTTAACATCATTCAACTCATCATTAGGCATATTAGCATTAACATTAAAAGTAGAACATAAATAATCATTTATAAAAGAAGTAGCATCATTTTTTATGTTCTCTACTTCTAACATGGCATTATCTTTTTCATGAGTTAAACTAGCAACATTTGAAGTTAAAGAGCCATGATCCAATTTTAATTTTTTATTATTTTCTTTAAGGATCACATTTTTATTAGAAATAGTTTCAAACTTAGATGCTAAAAACTCATGATCGGATTTCAAATCCTCATGCTTACTTTGTAAATTAATAAAAATTTTATGCAATTTGTTATAGGCATGCAATAATTTTTCACTAGCACAAGCAACTTTATCACTAGATAAATCATTTGTGGATTCGAACTCGCAAACCTCACTAGGGATATCGCCTAGTTGCCGTGTGCATGATGAAGCTCTAATATTACTTGAAGAAGAATCCTCCAACCTATGTCGGATTTCCTCCAAGTTGCATTGATATGCTTCTATGAATTTCTATAAATTGTAAGTACTATCAAAATGACCAAACTTGTTAGTCATAGATGAATCAAAAGCATTTAGCAAATATTCTAACAAAATATTATTCATTGTAAACATTCGATGATCATTTTTATTCCACTTGGATTTCTTCGTAGTGGGCACAATATAAGCATCATCTATAATTTCTCATAAATCAAAATGTTTAGATCTAACAAATAGCTTAAATCTAACACACCATTGGACATAGGGGAAATTATCTAATTTAGGAGCAACATTTGATTCATAGCCTAACAAAGGTGCACAACTCATGTCCATGATAAATATATATATGTGTAAGCAAGACAAATGTAATCAAAACAAGATTAGCACAAAAAGATAACTTGAATCTTTAACTCAACACTCTTCGTAAAGTACTTATTGTTAAGAATCTCTCACATCTTGATTCCAGACGTCACCCTAATCACATCATACTTCAGTTCCTGTTTCAAACAGGATCTGATCACCCTACAAGTGTTCCTATTCATCTTTTCCCATACCGCTTCTTTATATTTTGGTGACCTTTCATGGACCATGATGGTCTCCTTAAAATTCTGCGCATTGAACGCATCCTGTACGTCGCACATCCACAAACCAAAATTAATCTTGTCGTCATATTTAACCACACAAATTTTAGTGTTCTAAAAACCAACTTGAACTGTACCTGCCATCTTGCTGCTTTCATCAACTTCTTCACACATACTCACAAACTCCAAATTGTAGATAAAAAAAATTTAAACTTGATAGAATTTAGAAGTTAGCCAACTGAACCCTAAAACAGATTCCAAAATAGATCTCCTAACCACACGAGGAAAGCGAAATCTTCAACGGCAACCCCAAACACTATCTCTACCGAAGCCTAGAACTCCAAGAACCCAGCTTCCACGATGAATCTTCCTCCACCTAATGCCAAAAATCCTAGATCTGAAATCTGAGCTCTGATACCAATTATCGCGCGCCTTTGCGGAACCGTGCTCGCACATCGAACGAGTCCGCGAGTCACGGGAGAAGATTAACAAACCAAACTCGAGCACAATCCAAACAAATACGACAAACCAATCGCAAACACTCACGGGAGAAGATTAACAAACCAAACTCGAGCACAATCCAAACAAATACGACAAACCAATCGCAAACACAGAGATATACGTGGTTCGAAACCAAACTCGAGCACAATCCAAACAAATACGACAAACCAATCGCAAACACAGAGATATACGTGGTTCGACAATTTGCCTACGTCCACAGGGAGAAGATAGAGAAATTTCACTATTTCGAGGAGAGTACAAAATGGTTACAATCACTCAAACACTTGAACAAAGGCTAACCAATCATCTCTCAACTCGCTCAAAAGTTCTCCCTCTCAAAGTGTTTAGAATACTCTCTATTCTCTGATAAACAAAACCCTAAAATCGTATTTCAATAAATATCAAAACACGAATCAAATCAGAACAGAAAATAAAGCCCAGGCCCAAACCCGACTGGCAGTCGACCGCGCCAAAGATCGCGGTCCACCGGACAGAAAGACCGAAATAAAAAAAATCCACTACAGGGTCCGCGGTCGACCAGACCTAACCTCGTGGTCAACCAACCAGAACTCCAGAAACTACCATGTACTCGTACACGTTTGCGGTCGACCACGTCAAAGCTTGCGGTTGACTGGCAACAGGGGCGTAGCTATGTACATCTTGCCCTGGGCAGCTGCCCAAGGCAAGAAAAAGTTTTTTTTTAATACCCCCAGCTGCCTTTATTTCTCCCACCTGCCTTTATTTCTCCCCCCACATATTTCCAACTTTCCAAGTGAGCAGAGATTCAAGAACAGAAAAGGGGCGGCCAAAAAAAACCAGGTCTTGGGTTTCAAAATTTTAATGGCGGAGATCTTGGTCAGGCTTTGAGTCTGAGCCCTCTCTCACAGTCTCACCGGCTGATCCGGCTCCCCTGGCCTCCTCGCCTCCTAAGTCCCAAAGCAAGCCCTCTCACAGGCTTTGAGTAAGCAACCTCTCTCTCCGTCTCTCACAGTCTCACTTGTTTTTTCTAGTTCCTCCTTCAAGCTTTGGCATTTCTTGTGATGTTTAATCTGTCTTAAGGTAATGATTAAAACACAATAATCAACTAGCAATGAATAGATCTAACAAACTAACATCATGATTCATGCATGATGTAGCCACTGAGCCACATATAAAAATGTGAAATACCAGTCACCTATTCGTTCAATTTCATATTGAAATTTGATGTGTAACAATTTCTTAAGTTTAAAACATTACAATCAAGTAAAAGCTAGAGAAGAAAATATCATCAGGTCAGGAGTTTTGAAGTCCAAGGGGGTCCTGTTCGAAACCCCCTATAAATTCAGGGGCACTTTGTGATTAGCTATTTGCCACGTCGACCATGGAAGGGAAATGGTGTTGATACTGACAGAAAAATATGGGTGTAGTAACAATATTAGTAGGTTCTCCTGAATGTCACATTGGCACATTAACCTTGATATCACCGTAACTATTTGTGTTAGAGAGTGTGAATGAGATGAGGAATTTGGATTATTTTGAGGCCCAGACCAGTTGATTATAAGGATGAGAATCTTTTAATGTGCTTCTTAATGCATGCAATCTTTTAATATCCTAATCACAATTTATTAAATTTTTGAAGCTAAAATGTCTGGAAAAGGAATGAAAACTTTATTTTCATTTTATTCCAAAAAAGACATTATTGGAGCCTCAAGCGAGGCACCGCCGACGGAGCTAACAGTTGATGATAAAGAAGAAGAGCAACATCCTCCTAAAATTCAAAAGGTCAAGGATATCATATCTTATGATCCAGGATTAGGTCAAGCAATATGGAAATATCCATATAAAGAACATTTTCGGCAATGAAACTCATAAAAACATCATTGCGCAACAAGATGGGAGATGAATTGCTTGCTAATAACATGATACTTTATATTGAAAAAGAAATTACTTCCAGCCTCGACACAGAAGAAATAGTAGAGGAGTTTGATTCACGACATACTCGTAGAGCTCGGCTTAGATAGATACTTCTGTTTCTGGTGTATCTCATATTTTGAATGTGTATGATACAACTTTGTATTTTTTATCAATATCTAAATCAAAGCCCTCTTAGTTTGTTTAATTGTTTTTTGCTTTGTTATTTTTTCGCCCAGGGCAAAAAAAAGTTCTGGCTACGCCACTGACTGGCAAGCACCAAAATGCCTGTCTGCTTCAAATTTCATGAACTTTACCAATATTTTGGCCATTTCTACAGATTCGTTACTCTTCAAATTGCACTTGCTAGCAGACGCCTTCATAATGTGGTGACGGGCTGGACGTCGCTCCTCCTCGAGTTCGTCGATCACGACACGAAACGTGAACAGGAGCCCAGCTTGGCCTGCGGTCGAGCCACGGCAATGGGCATCGCTCGTCAATTCTTGCAAATCTGAGGACAAAACCGTCGTTTAGCTCCACTGACACCCAGATATTTTCCCTACCTTCGATGTCCACCGTCCAATTGAAACAATCCAACGGTCCGGGTTCTACGGTGCTTCCCGCCTTGTCGTGCTTCCAACCCAACCGAACATGGGGTTCGCCTCCCACGTGGGACTGGTTACCGGATCTAGGCGGTGGGTCCCAGCCGCACGTCACGTGAGTTCGGTCCAAATAAAACTTTAAATAGGGCTTCGTCCCCCCCTCCTCAATGGAAGGAGAAAGGAGGGAAAATAATAATAATAATAATAATAATCTATAATCTCTCATTTCCTTTCTTGGTCATCGAGTTTGGGATCTTTCTCTCCTGTAAGGTATCAAATTCTGAGCCTTTTCGCTTTTCGTTGTATCTTATTTCTTTTTTTTTCCCTCTGGAATTCTAAGTTCATAGCCATTCGTCCTGCATTATTTTTTTGTTAGTTGATTTCCTCGTCTCTGTATGCAATTTGGTTCGTTGATAGTTAGATCTATGAGATCTCTAGCTGAAATGCGAAAATCATGGAAAAAGTTTGGATTTTGTTAGCTGATAAGGTCCTTGTTTTTTAATTATTTTTTAAGTAATGCCGCTTTCTTTTGGGTTTATTTGAGATTCGGCAATGGCGTCTGATGCCCTAGTTTTTTTTTTATTTATCTCGAACAACGTCTCTGATGTCTCTTAAGGTTTTGATCTAGCCGTCCATTTCCACTAAGAAATCTTATAACAAACAAGTATTTAAATATGAGAAGGCCCTCGGAAAAGTTTTTTTTTTTTAATTTAAATAATAAGAAGATTGGTTGGATCAAATGAAAAAGATTCGATTATATTGGTAATTGTTGACTAGTTGGAATCTCGATTAAGAGTTTGTGATAAGTGACTGGTCAATTATCTACGAGCCATTTGCTAAATTTGAAATGTGCGTAGTTGTAAAATGCTGAGTTAATTGGTATTATTACTGTAAAACAAAGGAGTTAAATTGGAATAATAATTAATAGAATAACTGTTTAAAATACTAGTAAGCGTCTATTCCATTTTGGCCGGCAGTGACCCTTTTGGGTTTTTTGCTCGCACCTTGCCACATGCACTGTTCTCTGCCTTTTTTGTCTCGTTGTTTTAGCTCCACCTCTGGAGGGGAAAAAATTAATTATCACCAATTTTCACTTCTCGAGTTATCTAGTATTAACGCCATTTTTAATAATACTTTGATCAAATTATGTATGTATTCAACTCATCAAGTATGTCAATTTGCCAATAGTCAGACTCCAATTTTGACTGCACTCACTTCTTTTCCCCCCCTTTAAGTTCAGAGATGATGTTCATTTTTTGGGGATTTCAATAAAACATGGAACTTTGCATGTTTTGATACTTATACATGAACATCAAGGTTACATTAATTTTCCAAGCCCACTTGTTCTACTGGTCATGAGAAGTTGCATGTATATGTGGTCTGCATCCCCCCCCAAGTTTGTTACCCCCAAGTTTGGTATATATGATGTCTTTTCCTTCTGTGGTGGACCTGGGGACTTAGTTTGTCTAACTTGCCTAGTAGCACTTAGAAAATTCACTGCAATTACCTGTCTATTTGACCAAGTAGGCATCTCACAATCAACTACTGGTGACCTGCAGTTTGTATTTTAGATACAGGTTTGAATTACAATTTTACATACTGATTTTTTTTGGAGCGCAAATGTTTTGCTATATCAGTATATCCTACTAGTACAAATAGAAAACTAGAAACAATTCTTTGCACTATAGTTAATACAATAAAAGGTCTATTTTCAAATCGTAATCGTTTCAAAAGGTGAAAATTGGTGCAATTGTCTAACTAGTAGCAATAATAAACTGAGTATGAATGTTTTGCTATAATCTAACTAGTAGCAATAAGGGGGAAAAAAGAACGATTCTTTGCAGTGTACTTATACAATAGAAGACCAATTTCCAAATCATAATTGTTTGAAAGTTCAAAATTAATGCAATTGTCTAACTATTAGCAATACTAAACTGAATATGAATGTTTTGCTACTGTCTAACTAGTAGCAAAAAGAAACTAATAACAATTCTTTGCACAGTAATTATATAAAAGAACAATTTTCAAATCATAATAGCTTGGAAGGTCAAAACTAATGCAATTATCTAACTCGTAGTGTAGCACTAATACTTAATCGAGTCATCAATGTATTGCTATTTTCTAACTAGTGGCAGTATAAAACTAAGAATTGTTCTTTGCACTATAATATACAATGAAAGACTAATCTTCAAATCATAATCATTTGAAAGGTGAAAATTAGTGCAATTTGCACGGAGTGGTAGTATGAGTTATATAAGTTAAATAAGGAACAAATCACAACCTTCTAAAATTTTGATGGTTACGATTAAAAAAATTGGTCTCCAAATTCATGTTCTTAACTCTATAGTCACCACATAGTTAGGTTTTAGTCACTAGCTTTGAAAATCACTAGCCATTGTAATCACAGTGCAGGTCAAAAATGGGTGCTGGAGGACGAATGACCCCAAAAGAGCACAAGTCTCAACGACTCCAAAAGGGCACCTTTCCTCGCGTCCCCACCGAGAAACCCCCCTTCACTCTCGGCCAGATCAAGAAAGCCATCCCTCCCCATTGCTTCGAACGTTCTGTTCTCCGCTCTTTCTCCTTCATACTCTACGACCTAATCATCATCTCCACCCTTCTATACCTCGCCCTCTACCAAATCCCCAGCCTACCCTCACCCTTCAATTACATAGCCTGGCCTTTATACTGGATTTGCCAAGGTTGTGTTTGTACTGGTATTTGGGTCATTGCCCATGAGTGCGGGCACCATGCTTTTTCAGACTACCAACTCCTTGACGATGTTGTCGGTTTAGTCCTTCACTCTGCCTTACTAGTCCCATACTTCTCGTGGAAATACAGTCATCGTCGCCATCACTCTAACACCGGTTCTTTAGAGCGTGATGAGGTTTTTGTTCCAAGGCCTAAATCTTCTCTCCCTTGGTTCTCGAAATATCTCAACAATCCCCCTGGTAGATTCATTTTCCTCTTTGTTAGCCTCTCCATGGGATGGCCATTGTACTTAGCCTTCAACCTCTCTGGCCGCCCCTACTCTAGATTTGCATGCCATTATGATCCCTATGGTCCTATCTACTCTGATCGGGAGCGTGCTCAGATCTTCATCTCTGATGCTGGTGTGCTCACCGTCTTCTATGCTTTGTACAAGCTGGCTACTGCATTCTCCTTGGGTTGGGTGATTAGAATCTATGGAGTGCCTTTGTTGATTGTGAATGGATGGTTGGTGCTGATCACTTATTTGCAGCATACTCACCCCGCACTGCCTCATTATGATTCGTCGGAGTGGGATTGGTTGAGGGGTGCGTTGGCTACTGTCGATAGAGATTATGGCATTCTAAACAAGGTGTTCCATAATATTACAGATACCCATGTTGCTCATCATCTCTTTTCGACGATGCCACATTACAACGCGATGGAGGCGACCCAGGCGATAAAACCGGTACTTGGGGAGTATTATCAGTTTGATGGGACTCCGGTTTATAAGGCGATGTATCGGGAGGCAAAGGAGTGTGTTTATGTGGAGTCTGAAGGGGAGAAACAAAAGGGAGTGTACTGGTACAATAATAAGTTCTGATATTGAGGAGATGGTTGTAGTGGTGGGTTACTTGTTCTCTGTGTCTGTGTGTGTTTTAGTTGGTCTGGCTTTGGTCTCCTTTTCTATCTCGGAACAAGGAAGAAAGCGTTTTAAAGTAATGAAAACCAAAGAAGCAGAAGCGCTGCAATGTGATAATTTCATACCCTTTTTTTTTTGCATCTTGTATTTGCTCTGTTTTGTTCTAATGGAATGCTTTGTTAAATGCAGTCAAGATGTGCCTGATTTTGTTCTGTTGAGATCATTTTGAAAACTAGAGCTAAATGTCCCAAAGCTTTTGTTAAGAATGCATGTGGTACATCCTGGTGTCATAATTAAGTTCTGTGAATCATCTCGTGCCCTTTGAAAGCACATTCTTTATTTACCAGTGAAAGAAAGCAATAGTCCTTTCCTGTAAATGTTGCCCCCAGGGCTCTTGATTTTTTATTTTTTTACAAAAATTATGGCAGCCAAGTTTATGAACTATGGGCAAAAGGCTTTGATGTACGTTGTACAAACAGTTTGAGGAAAAATTGTGGCTTATGGCCAATTTTAGATGCATGATGCACCACCAGTATTATAGGCAGCATTACTTTTACCATTTTATCTGATAGAATTTAAATTGAATGATTTGCTTATGGTGTTATGATTGGTTACAATGAGAGCAGAGAGCATTGTCCAAAACTGCTATAATGTGAGAGAATTATTATTTCTACCCTTGAATGTAAAATCTTTTTTGTTTTATGTAGAGAAGTAGAGATTGCAGTATAAAAAAAAAGTATCACAGGGCTTGCCGACTATAAATCTCAGGGTTCAATCCCAGAAAAGTTCCAAACTCAATCACACTTAATCATACAAAGTTACAATCATATACAGCAACAGGTCATTTTAATAGCGTGAATTTCAGAAAATTAGATTCTAGGTTTTTTCTTATTGGCATGACTGGCAGATGACATGCATTTCTCTCATTTAACAAAAGAAGACAGGACTCTGAAGTCTTTGCAATTCATTTTGTTGATTTAAAAAAGAAGGAAATCAGTGCATTTTTTTTTTGGGTGGGGGGAAGCTTGGTTTTAGTTATAACCAAGTAAACACTAGGGATCGGGGCCCCCTTTGGCAGTCCAGGCCCAAGTGAATGCCACAAGTATTGAAATGCCTGATAATTAGAGATAGAGAAATCAAGCACTCTTAACTGAACATGTAAACAAGGACAAATTTTTTAAAAGGACCATTTTTTTAATTTTATATAGTAAAAACGACTTCATGAGAAAATAATCTGCAAAACCGATCCTTTACTTCGGAAAATGGTCGGTTTTGCAGTTACCATATTTTTCGAGCTACACGCGACTGCTAGTCCCGTATAGTCCGACCAGCAATTGAAATGTACGGGACTAGCAGTCCCGTGATTCTTCTTTCGGATAGTCTCTGTTTAAAATTCGGATAAAAAGAATGAAATGCACGAGGATGCTAGTCTCGTGCATTTCAATTGCTGGCCGAACTACATGGGACTAGCAGTCCCGTGTAGCTCGAAAAAATTCGCGACTGCAAAACGAACCCTTTTCCGAAGAAAATGATCGGTTTTGCAAATTATTTTCTCATGAGATCGTTTTTGCTATATAAAATTGAAAAAAGTCCCTTTAAAAATTTGTCTTGTAAACAACCGCTTATCTTTTATTATTATTATTTTGTTAAGTTTACCTGCTCTGAAGTCCGAGCTCTCTTCTATCTACCAACATTTGTACTGCTCTGAAGTCCTGTAAACAACCGCTTATCGTTGTTCTAAATTTTACGCAATTAACAGTCATTAGAGAAAGTTGTCCTGGCGGTTGGGGAATTTCAGTCTCCCCGCCTACCACGATATATGCAACTCGAAAGCCAACCCCAATCAATAAGATAGAACAACTACAATCAAGAAAAAGAACAACGAGATTTACGTGGTTCGGTCAACCAACTTCGACATACGTCCACGGGGCAACAATACGAGAAATTCACTATGTATCAGGGAGAACTACAAGATGAACCACTCAACTCTCGTCTCTCAATCTCTCAACCTCACATACATAATCAACTCTCATATTCTCTCCAAAGCCCACTCATTGTAATCTTTTGCACGGATAAAGACTACGAAACCCTCTCTCTCTCTCTCCCTCTCCCTCTCTCTCTCTCTCATCTACTACATCTCTACTTTTTCTTCATGGTTTTTCCTCCACCAATAGAAGAATATATATAGGGAAACCAAAACCCTATCTTTAGACTAATTTCCTAATTAGAATAGGATTCAAACTCCTAATCATGATAAAACCCAAACTCCTAATCATGATAGAACTCTAACCCTATCTAATTCTCATGAAGTTACACAAATAATCAAAGACAAAATCCCAACAATCTCATAGAACTCTAACCCTATCTAATTCTCATGAAGTTACACAAATAATCAAAGACAAAATCCCAACAATCTCTACCTTGGATTTGATTCCCAAACTCCCTTGAAGATATATCATCGTCGTCTTGAAACTTTGTCTCTCCCGTTAGAGTCTTCTATTTCTTTCACACTTTAAATCAGAACACCTGCACTCTCAATTGGATGCCTTCATGATTCTCACTATCTTCTGCTTCGCCGTGACACCTTCACTTCTCTTGTTGTCCTTGTGCTCTACCTGCATCGCTCGTCTCAAATCATATCGGTGCACCTCTCCTACTCCACACTATGAGTCGGATGCTTCTATCTCCTCCATCACTTGGCTTGGACTGAATATGAGCGCTCACCATCTTTAAGTCCAACGTCACCATCTTCATCTCCATGTGTGTCACTCGGTCGTGCCCACTTATAAGCTCCACCTAATATGGCACTGTCCTCCTCAAGTATACACACCAACCAACTCCTGCTCCTTATTTACCATCAGATTTGTCTTGCCGTTAAATAGCGGAATATCAAACTTCGGACCCGAAGAAGTCATCATTCTCTAATCAAAATTCAAATCAGTCACCGTAGAGTTTGAATTTAATAAAACTGATTCCAAAAACAAATTCAGCACGTCGAAAAACCCTAGGAACGACTCCTGGATCACCGAAATCCGCCTCCAAATCCTCAATCGGCTAACAAATCAATTTGGACCGCCGGATCCCCACGTGAACAGTGCCCGCTACGCTACAGTGTTCTGCTACAGTAACCTTTCCCTTTTTTTATCTTGCTTCTTGTAACGCCGATTTTCAATCTTGCACAGCGTCGTCTTCTATCTTGCAAACTCGCTCCCGGATCCATCACCATCGCTCTGATACCACTTGTAGGGGAATTTCAGTCTCCCCGCCTACCACGATATGCGTAACTCGGAAGCCAACCCCAATCGATAAGATAGAACAACTACAATAAAAAAAAAGAACATTGAGATTTACGTGGTTCGGTCGACCAACTTCGACCTACGTTCACGGGGCAACAATACGAAAAATTCACTATGTATCAGGGAGAACTACAAGAGAAACCACTCAACTCTCGTCTCTCAATCTCTCAACCTCACATACATAATCAACTCTCATATTCTCTCCAAATCCCGCTCCTTGTAATCTTTTGCACGGATAAAGACTATGAAACCCTCTCTCTCTCATCTACTACATCTCTACTTTTTCTTCATGAGTTTTCCTCCACCAATTGAAGAATATATATATAGGGAAACCAAAACCCTATCTCTAGCCTAACTTCCTAATTAGAATAGAATTCAAACTCCTAATCATGATAAAACCCAAACTCCTAATCATGATAGAACTCTAACCCTATCTAATTCTCATGAAGTTACACAAAGAATCAAAGACAAAATCCTAACACTCGCTATAATAATTTCTACCTTTGGTTGTAGCTTGGAAGCTATAAATAAAACTAGTTTAGTCTTTTCACACGTGTTGTTCATGCCTTTAGGAAGATTTTCTGTCAACTTAAAAGTTTTTAAGGAGCTGTTTGGTTGTATGTTTTTACCATGTAAAAGGATGGAAATTGTAAAAAAAATAGGTCCCAATGTCAGCTTTCATCACTTTCAATTGTTTGTTTGTAGTTATGAAAATACTGTAAAGTGATTTCATATGCTGATGTAGTTTGTAAAGTGATTTCATAAAAAAACATGATTTTAGGAGAAAGCTAACATTGAAGTCAGGACAAAATACTAAAAATAATTCCAACCAATATGATCATTTGAGTAGGGGCCATTTTTTACACTTTCCAAACAAACAATTAAAGTTACACTTGCAAACCAAACAAGCAATTTATGATTTCCAATGGAATAAAAAACAAACAAAGAAAAGTATAAAAATAAAATTGATGAGGTGGGCAACGACTTTTCAAGTTGCGCCATAAATACACAACTTTACCAACAACCACCGAACAGCCCCTAAGTTTCATACAAAAACCATTGAGTGCTGTTATACTAGTAATCTTTTTAATGGTAATATTCTTTCAGGCATGTCAACTTCGTCTTACACCAAAATAAACAATGGACTCCTAGCAGCGTGACTACTCATTGAATCAGAGCATTGTACTAGTGCTTAGTAGTCTTTTTTTTATCATCTAACATTTACCCTCATCCTCCTTTTAGACCTATTCTCTCTCTTTCGATTCATGCATTGTCGGTTTATACATAGAGCTTTGCTACAGGGACCCAAAATATGAGACCAATAGAGGGGACAAGTAAGGTGTCCCCCTCTTATTAGATAATGAGTTGACCATCATTAATGATGGCCAACTCATTATCTAATAGGAGGGCGACACCTCACTTGTCCTCCCTATTGGTCCCATATTTTAGGTTCTTGGAGAATTTTTCTTATACATATTCTACTCAACAAATTCCCTAGGCATCTCGCCCTTGTTTGTTCAGAAGGAAAAAAGAAAATACTGCATTCCAACTTTTTTCTTTTTAGTATGGGCCTATTGGATCTACAAATAAGGGAGACTGTTTTTTATCAGAACCGTCCGCATATGATAAGCAGTTCTTACCTTATTCCATAACAGTCAAATGAAATTTTGCTCCTCTATTATGTGGTTTAGAAACACCTCTTGCGTTAGGTTAGTTACGATGGGATATGTAATGGATTGGAAGATGAATCGGCCTTAGGAACGTTTACCGTGAAAATTTTCATAAGAACAGCCTTGGCTCGGATCATTTTGGTAATCTTACCTTGGGGTCGGACTTTTCCTATAAAGGCTTTGGGTTGTGACCACGTTTTCCTAAATTTGGACTAAAATAGTTGAGGTGAGACTGAAATGAATTGGCTATTT